CACATACCCTCTGGCAAAAATTTTTAAAAAACAAAAGCAAACAACGTTCTTGCCAGTTCTTCACTGAGGAGTCAAATCTTCATTCCCTTCCTAGCCCTGGAATAATGTATTCTTGTTTATTGGTAAAGTTGTCACCATGTAATAGGGATCAGATTCAGACTTGCACGAGTAACATTCCTCACTGTTAAAAACCTGGAACGTGCTGGACAAACTTTTCTTAACTATTTTTCAAATATTTCCAGGAAGTTGAACTCATTGCTCTGATGAATGACAAAAAACATAAGATTTCAAGGAATTCAAAGTAATAATGGATGAAGTCTTACTCAGCATCCTGCAATAGATAACTAAACTTTTAAATGTTAGCTGGAGAACTAAATGTTTCAAGTAATGTTTAGGGAACTATCAGGGCACAATTTTTAGTACAGGTCTGTATTTTTTTTTTTCCAGAGAGATTTTTGCTATAGGACACGTGCGCTCACCACAGAGACAGAGAGAGAGAAAGTAAAACAAAATCACCCCAACCAGGGGGTGGCCAGCCGCAGTCCCTTCTTTTCCATTTTCTTCTCAGGATTTTGGGCACACATACATGCACCCAGCATGAATTTTAATCCACTGGGTCTGGGACTCAAACCACAGTTGACTAATTGGGAGTCCAGCGACCTAACCATTACACCATCTGCTAGTCCCACAGGTCTGATTTTTAAAATTAGTGTTTAAGATGCTCCCCTGATATAAATAAATAAAATCCTTGATTCATGAGGCAGGGGGTTGGGAGGGGAGAGAGAGTTACACATTCAAAGGCCATTGGTAAGCACACAAAGTAGACATGATGTACACACATATACTATAAAACTCAGTGTCAAGCCAAACACAAAATCTTCAGTCAGGATGCCAGCCCATAGCACAGCAGTTAAGTGCTATGCAAAGGAAATTGGATCCCACATGGCCAACCAGGATTTGAGTCCCAGCTCCAGTCGCTTACATGGTGGGCACAAGTGTGCCCAAGATCCTGATGCAATGGGGAGCTGGAGGAAATAAGATTGTAGCATAGCCAGGTCCCACAGGCAGATGCTTTCTGTCTGTCTCTCTCTCGTGCACATATCCTCTGGCATAATTAAAAACAAGGAGGGGCTAGCAGATGGCATAATGGTTACACTGCTGGACGCCCACATGGTCAACTGCAGTTCGAGTCCTGGACCCAGAGGCTTGAAACTCTCACTGGGTGCATGTGCATGCGTGCCCAACTTCCCAAGAGGAGAATGGGATCTCCCTTGAGGAGTGACTTCTCGCTTTCTGTCTTTTTGTCTCTTCAGTGAGTGCACACACCCTATTAAAAAAACTCTCCAATAATAATAATAACAACAACAACAACAAGAAGTAAAAAACTCTCCAGTCAGGGAGCAAATTAGTTAAGTTCTTATTTTTTTCTTTACACTATTGGATGCAAAATTTTACACTACATTATCAAATAATCAGCAAGTCGAAGATACCTTCAGTTCAACAAGGCCTTTCTTTAAAAGGCAGGCTAAACAAAGGCTTAAAGTGGAAAGTTGAGTCAAAGATGGGAAACAAAAAAGGCAAGAAAGAAACTCAAAATTAAGAGTGTAAAAAATCTCCAACAATATGAAGAAACATAAAACAGACTAGCCATTATGGTTTAAAGACAGAAGTTATCATATCAAATTTTTTAAAGAATTATTTAATTTCATTATTTTTTTAATTGGACCAGAGAAAGAGAGAGAGAGAGAGAGAAAGTGAGAAAGCAAGTCACGAGGTCCAGGACTTGAACTGCAGTCGGTCATGTAGGAAGGAGTCCAATGCCTTCACTACCCTGCCACCCGCTGACCTCCATATTAAATTTTTTAAAAATCCAGCAACCAGCAGATGGCCTAACGGTTATGTCACTGGACTCCTACACAGTCAACCATGGTTCAAGTTCCAGATTTGGCAGCTTAAAACTCATACCAGGCACGTGTGCCCGTGTGCTCAAAATCCCAAGAGAACAGAGGAGAAGGGATTTCAGCATGGCCATCCCCTCCTGAGGGGGTTGATTTCTCATTTTCTGTCTCTCTGGTAAGTGCAAGCATCCTATAGCAAAAATCTCTCTTAAAAAGAAAAAAAATCCAGTTAAATGCTGTTATGAGAGAGCCAGCCAGTGGTGTGATGATTAAGGTGGCCTGGATCCCACATGGTCAACTGTGCAGTTTGAGTCCTGGACCCAGCTTGAGAAACATGCTGGGCCTATGTGCATGCATGCTCAAAATCCCCAAAGGAAAAATGGGAGAGAAAGGGATTGTGGCATGGCCATCCCCCATGAGGAGTGCTTTCTCTCTCTGGCACGTGCACAGCTCTATAGAAAATAAAAAAATAATGGAAATTTTTAGAATGCTATTATAAGAAACAGCACATAAAATTTAAAGATGAGATGGGACCAGCAGGTGGCATAGTGGTTAAGGTACTAGACTCCAATACAGTCAACCACAGTTTGAATCCTGAACCTGGTATCTTCTTTCTCACTTTCCCTCCTTCCCTCCATCCCTCTCTCTCTCTCTCCTTCCTTTTCTCTCTCCCCCTTCGCTGGTGAGCACAGGTACACTACAGCCAATTTTTAAAAATAATAATAATTAATAAAATTAAATAAATAATTTATTTTCTTTAATTTAAGGACCAGGGGCTAGCAGGTGACATGGTAGTCAAGGCTCTGGACTCCCACATGGCCAACCATTGTCTGAGTACTGCTCCCTGCAGATTGAGAATCACAGCAGATGCATGTGCATGCATGCCCGAAATCCCAAAAGGGGAATGAAGGAGAAGGGAATGTTGCATGGTCGTCCCCTAGGGGGTGATTTCTCACTTTTCCTTTCTCTGTCTCTCTCTGCCTCTCTCTGCCTCAATCTGGTAAGTGCATGCACCCTATGGCAAAAACAAACAAACCAAAAAAAAAAAAACAGAAAACAAAAAAAGAACAATAGTAATAATATAATAACATTAGGTTGTCAAGAAAATCATGATATGTTTTTCTATGCAAAAATATGTCACAACATTCCTGACAACCCGATAACAACTAAGGGCCAAAAAGGTTGAAACTAAATGGATGGAGAAAAATATGCCAAGCAGATACAAAACTAAGTAAAGTTGAAGTAGCAAAACTAATGTCAAAACAGCTAGGCCTTGGAATCAGCAGTTAGTGTAAAGGCTATGTCGCTGGACTCCCATGTAGTCAATCACAGTTTGAGTCCTGTACCCAGTGGCTTAAACTCACACCAGGCGCGTGTGTGTGCGGGTCCAAGATCCCAAGAGGTGAATGGAGGAGAAGGGATTTCAGCGTGGCCATCCCCCCGGGGGGTGATTTCTCGCTTTCTGTCTCTCTGTCTCGCTCTGTCTTTCTGGCAAACGCAAGCACCCTATAGCAAAAACCTCTCCAAAAAAAAAAAAACAGCTAGGTCTTTAAAAAAAATTTTTTTTTTAATTAAGGTATAATTGACAAAAAGTAAACTTCATCCCTTATAAGGGTACGATTTCATATATACAGTCACGTTACACCACAAGAATCAAGATGAAGAACATTTCCATTGCTCCCCAAATTTTTTTTGAGAGATTTTTGCTATAGGGCACGTGCACTCACCAGAGAGACAGAGAGATAGAAAGCAAGAAGTAACCTCCCAGGGGGGATGGCCACACCGCAATCCCTTCTCCTCCATTCTCCTCTCAGGATCTTGGGCAGGCACACACACGCGCCTGGCGTGAGTTTAAGCCACCGGGTCCGGGACTCGAACCACGGTCAACTACATGGGAATTCAGCAACATAGCCATTATTCTAACTGCTGGTATCCCCCCCCCCCAATTTTTCTTCCCCAACTCTCATCAGCTATTGATTCGATTCTGTCCCTACCTACCATTTTGTCTTTTCTAGGAAGTTACAGAAATGTTATCACACACAATGTAGCTTTCTGTGACAGGTTTCTTACACTCGGCATAATGCTTTTGCATTCATGCTGCAGGCTGTGCCTTTATATGGCTCAGACCAGATACATTTTGAGAGGAAAAGCATTAGAAAAAGATAAGGCTAAAATATCAATCTACTCATTAGACATATTCCAAACTGTACTGTGGACCCAATCAAATAACCCTGAAATACATAAAGCAAAAATTCATATAAACGATCTGACCCTACTTTATCTCATTTTTATTTTATTTTATTGCCAGAGGGCATATGTCTGCTCATCAGAGCGAGAGAGAGAAAGGGAGAGGGAAAAAGCACCCCTCAGTGAGGCGTGATCATACTACAGTCCCTTGTCCTCCATGTCTCCATCATGCCAGGATTTTGCGCATGCACACACATGCACCTGGCATGTTTTTCAAGCCACTGGGACTGAGATTTGAACTGTGATTGGCCATGTGGGGTCTGGCTCCCTTAATCACTAGGCTATAGGACTGGCTCTGGCCCCCACCTATTACTGGTATCCTCTCTTCTTCTCACCTCTTCTCTCTTTCTTCTCCAGCTGGACTGGCCTCCCAACTGTTCCTTCAACTCCAGAGACATATCCTCAAGATAAGGCCTTTGCAAAGGACATTCTTCTGCCCATTCTTCTCTCATCAGATTTTCTATGGTTAAATCTCCCTCCTTCTTCAAATCTTTCCTTACAGGTCACCTTCTCAGGGAACCAGCAGGGTGGCGTGGTGATTGAAACTGGATTCCCACATGGCCAACCAACCAAGGTTTGATCTAAAGAACACTGAGAGCAATAGCTTCACCATATTCAATAAGTTAAGGGTACATATAAGATTTGTGAAACCTAGTACACATTGCTGTGTGTGAGATATACAGCAATATAAATTCTAGTGTTTAGTTCTGTGACTGTTTTTATATAACATAAAATAGAAAAGATCTGATAGTTTGCTTTCTTACTTTCTCTCTCTCTCTCTCTCTCTTGTCTATCTCTCGTGAATGCACGTGCCCTCTAGCAAATTTAAAAATAATAAATAAAATTTTTTAATATTTTTTTTTTAAAAAAGGTCACCTTCTTAACATCTCTCTTGATTACCCTATAAAATACTGCAACTTACTCATGGAATATAATTTCTTTGCATGAATCAAACTTAAATTTTAAATAGTAAAGATCAATAAAATCATTTAAAAAAAGAAAAAAGGAGGAACACTCTGGGATTCCACATCA